CGTGATGCAGGCCGCAGGTGGGACCCATGCTAAAGGTCCAAGAGGGAAGTTGTTGTGAATAGCGGCTAGTTTATTCCTTTTTTTCCGCGCGGGCAGGAGATGAGTCCTCCTCGATTCTCCAGGTCTTCCTGCTGCTGTGAAAATAATCCTTTCACAGTCCCTTGCAATCGTCGCCCTCCTTCTGCTTCTCCGCCAGTCTATTTGTTGTTCTTTCGGTTCCTTTGAGTCCTCGCCCTCCTTCTGCCACTCCTCGAATCCTCTTTGTCTCCTCCCTCCATCCGACCCCATGCCCATTCGCGATCCATTTCCGTAGCCACCGTGGCTCGAGGTGGCGCGCGCGAAGACGCAAGCATGTGGCCGCCCGCGCGCCCGAGCGCATCCTCAGGGAGTATGGACCGTGGACCTCGATTTGCCAGAACGGTGTTCATCCACAACGCTGAGGAGGAGGAGGGAGGCAAAGACGAGGAAGCCGCAGTTGCGGATGATGACGACGACCAGCGGACGCAAGATGGCGACAGCACCGTCGCGTCCTCGGCTGCCTCCGCTGACGAGGCTGAGTCCCGGGGAGGTGCGGGAGCCGCAGGTGCGGCAGCACATGACTCCTACATGCCGAGAGTGTTGTCGTCGCGGAGACCCTGGAAACGGGTGCCCATCATCGAGACAAGCAATCTGTCGGAAAAACAAAGAGATCTTGTCGACGCATGGGAGGAGAAAACGGAGTTCGAAGCGGGACGGGTCGGCTTCTACGTGGCCAACTTCGGAGGGACTGCAGCTAGACCCACGCAACGCGCGGACGAGTGGGCGCAGCTCCGCGCGAACCCTGCCCAGATCATCGCCCTCTGCGATTGCGACGACGAGACCTGCGCGGTACTCAGTGGGGAGCACGACGCGAGGGACAGTGCAGCCGCAGTTGCGGACGATAGGTTTCGGAGTCGGACTCAATACAACTACATGTGCGTTAAGGGCGGCGAGCCATCAGGGACCCTCCTTGTTGGCATGAGGGACCGCAGTGGCGGCCACATTGAACACGTAGACTTTGCGAGACTCTTCCACAAGCAGGAGAAGTCCAAAACGAAGAAGAAGAAGAAACAGTCCGCAGTTGCGGAGGCTCCTGCGCCAAAGCTGCGCAACAAGTACTCCAGGGCGATGGTGGTGCGCGTCCACCTGGACCAGGCCGTGCCCCATTTGGGGGGCTCCTTCAACGTCATGGCGGTGCACGTCCACCACAGCTTGGCCAACCAAGACTGGGGCGTCACGAAGCTCCATGAGTTCTACAACTGGTTCGTCGCCTACGTCAGGGAATGGGACGTGAAGGTCTGCATGGGGGACTTCAACATGTGCATGTTCCAGCTTGTGTCCTGGCGCCGCAATTGCGGCCTGACTGTGGACGTCGCCGCGTGGACCCCCTGGAAGACAGCAGGCGGCCAGCCCAGGGCAGACAGCATGGCGATTTTGTTCATAAACTGTCCTGGGCAGTACAAGCTTCACCATGGCCTGAGTGTTCTGCACGACCGTGAGGGCGGATTCTTGACGACCCAGCTTGATCCGTCTTTCCCTGTCTTCGACTACACGAATGGCCCTGGGAAGATGCTTCAGACTTACGTGCCCAAGGCTGAGCCCGTTGAAAACAAGATGCGCGCCTTCCTGACGCCATCTGGCGATTCCTTGACCGCAGTTGCGGAGTTCGAGCAAAGGATGGCGCGCAGGGAACGCGACGATTGGGTGCGCCATCCCTTCAGAGTGAAGCAGGGCAACCTCGACGACAAGATATGGCATGGCGCCTTCGGCAGGGCGAGGCACGGAGCGCACTTCCCTCTGGTGGCTTTCACGCACAATACGCGCCGCAGGTCACCTGACAGACTCGCCGCGAGGTTGGAACGCAGGAAGGGCGGCAGGAAGGGCGGCAAGAAGGGCGGCAAGAAGGGCAGCTACGCGGACACCGCAGTTGCGGGGAAGGGCGTCCGACCCCAGATGGGAACCGCAGTTGCGGGGGGAGACGCTGGGGCTGAGCGAGCTGGGAACACGCCACCGCCGCAAGCTGCCAACGGCGACGATGCGACCCCTTCTTGTGCCGCAGTGGCGGCTGGGTCCTGGGACGCCAGCGGCAGCGGCGCATGGGAGGCGCGCAGTACCGCCACGAGATGGCAGGGCTGGTCCTGGTGGGACTGGAGCTCGAGCGAATGGGGCGCTGATGGCGCGCAGTGGTGGCCCTCTGATCATGCCGCAGTTGCGGACAATGCCCCCGAGGGCTCGCCTCCTCAGCGTGAAGTCGAGTGGGGCTCGAGCGGGCGACCTGCCGAGCGCCCTCCGCGGAGCTTCGAGGGGCAGCGTTGGTGATGGCCGCAGTTGCGGGCAAGTGGAGCATGATGTTGATTGCCGCAGTTGCGGACAGTGTACGCTGGAAAAATCATCATCATCATCAATCATAATCATCATCATATCATAATATCATACGTTCAAAGCAGTGCCGGGGCACTGCTTTGAACGCGTTCAAAGCAGTGCCGGGGCACTGCTTTCGATCGTCGCCTCGTCGCCGTTATAAGGGCTTTTGGATTACGGGTTTTCCGCGTTACTGGAAATATTGCCCCCAGCCCATTTTGTGGCGGAGGTCCAGAAGAGCCCGTGAAACAGGTTCCGCTGACGGCCTGCAGTTGAAATCGAATAAAGGTTTTTTTGTGATGGCGGTATAATAATTTTATGTTTCACGTAAGTTCGCCTGCTGCTGGATCGTGTGCGTTTTCTGTATGATAGTCCATAACGTAAACGCCCAGACGGCCTTGTCCACACTCCAGTAGGGTCATCCATAGCTTAGCATTGAGACCGCTAACGAAGCACAGCAAGTAGAGAACCATTTCTTTGTGATGCGCGCAGTTGGGTGGGCACGAGCAGGAATGCGTGGCCTCACCATGTAGACGAGAGTGCTTCATGGACGCCTTGGTATTCACCAGCCGCGCCCACCTCCTGTGTGTCCTCGACCCTTGGGGTGGGACCTGCCGCGGCCCCTCCCCGTCGGAGGGTTGCCGTACTTGCCGCTTTTCCCGCCATGTTTGCCCTTGGCATTGCTGTTGCCCTTGGGCATTGCGTAATTGTCGTAGCTCTTGCCACGCGTGTCCTTCATGCACTTCCCTTTTCCAATCTTCCCACCTTGCGTCGCTCTGGCCCATGGACTTCCCTCCTTTGCTGCTCCTCCTCCTCCTCCTCCTCCTCCTCCTCCTACCACTACCACTACCACTACCACTACCACTACCACTACCACTACCACTACGACCACTACTACTACTACTACTACTACTACTACTACTACTACTACTACTACTACTACTACTACTACTACTACTACTACTACTACTACTACTACTACCTATTATTATTATTACTAATACTACCACCACCACTACCACTACGACTACTACTACTACCACCAATACTACTACTACTACTACTACTACTACTACTACTACTACTACTACTTATACTATTACTACTACTACTACTACTATTACTACTTCTACTACTACTACTACTACTACTACTACTACTACTACTACTACTACTACTACTACTACCTACTTCTATCCTTATTCCTTATTAGAATATACTCCTACTCCCCCCTCAGGCCGGCCGATAGGGGCCGCATCCGGGTGGTCCCATCCTAACCTGTAAAAAACAATACAAAATCAACATTTTTCTTATTTTTTCCTCTCGACATGGACGTCCTGTCGTCCACGGCGATAATCCATTGCAAAAAACACCACAAAGAGCACACGCGCGCGTTCATGTCAGAATCCTACCGAACACCGTGTGTTTGCAAGCATTTCATCATAAAAACATCAAAAACCCAATGCTTTTTCACAAAAAACTTCAAATTTCCTGCCCGGGCTCTCTTGCTGAAATCATAGGAAAACCATAGGAATCTTAAGAATTCTGCCAAATCCAGCGATTTCACGTCATCGCGCGGTGCACTCGCGATGCTCTGTCATGCACCCAGGCCGCGAATCCTGTGCAAAAAATACCACGCGGGCGACATGCGCGCGCGTCGCCGCGAGCGCATGCTCAAATCCTTCTAGAGTCGTCGCCGTCATTGGCACCGTCGCATGGACGTCCTGTCGTCCACGTCGCAAAATGCATGGCAGGAATGGGACGCGGCGCACACCCCGCGCCCGCCCATCCAATCCGTCCCATTCTAATCTGCAAAAGACAATACACAGTTTTGTTTTTCTTGTCAACATGGTCGTGCTGTCGTCACGTCGCAAAATGCGTGGCAGGAATGGGACGCGGCGCACACCCCGCGCGAAGGGGTGACATGGTACTACTACTACCACTACCACTACCACTACCAACACCACTACCACTGGTACTACTACTCCTGCCTCTTGGGGCCTCCTGGGCCCCCTTGGGGTGTCCTGTCAGACCGTCGGGCTTCCTCCGGCCACCTCTGGCTTCCTGCGGTGTACCGGGCCATTCTCGACTCGTCTGGCAATGCGTGCGCGGCATTCAACACGCGCTCGCCAGTTCCCGTCGGCAACCGCCATCGCGGCCGCATCAGCTGTACCAAACCGGCTGGCCGGTGTGACTTCGGCCCCCAGTTGTGCCAGCTTTGCTTCTTATGTTGTGGGAGGGCGGGTGGGACTGGGCATGCCATGCTTGACTCGCTCGAGCTGGCTAGCTTGACTCTTACTCCTACTCCTACTCCTACTCCTGATCCTGCTCCTGCTCCTGCTCACACTCCTACTCCTACTCCTACTCCTACTCCTACTACTCCTACTACTACTACTACTACTCCTACTCCTACTCCTACTCCTACTCCTACCCTTCCTCCCCCCCTCCTCCTCCTCCTCCTCGTCCTCCTCCTGCTCCTCCTCCTCCTCGTCCTCCTCCTCCTTCTCCCCCTCCTCCTCCGCCCCCTGCTCCTCCTCCTCCTCCTCCTTCTCCCCCTCCTCCCCCTCCTCCCTCCCCTCCCTCCCCTCACCAGTCTCACCCCCCCCCCGCCCGCCACCGAGGAGTGCCGCCACTGCCACCTCTGCCCCCCGGGCGAGATCGCGGCCCGGAAGCGGCGCGCGGCCGCGGGCGCCGCGGCGCGTCGCGATCCCAACGCTTGGCGCGCGGCGGGCTGGGCCTCCGCCCCCGGCGGCGCGATGGCGGCCTGATGTCGCGGCGCACGGCGGTCGGTGGGGCGTCGGGCCCATCCCGGCGCCGAACGAGGGGGGGAAGTGGGAAGGAGGAAACCTTCTCGGATGGTGGTGGGGCTTCTCAGAGGCCCCCCGGTCTTCTGAGAAGTTCTCTGCGTCTCTGGGGAAGGCTTAGAACACTTCCCAGAAGGAAGGAGCGCTCCCGAGCCTTTTGAGAAGGCCCGCCCCTTCTCGCTTCCCCCCTGGGCGCGCCGCCGACCATCCTTCAGTGGAGGAGGAGGAGGAGAAGGAGGAGAAGGAGAAGGAGGAGAAGGAAAAGCTGGTGCCGCGGCTTGTCCTGTAGAGCCTTTGTGGCCAGGGCTGGATTCTCCTCGAAGTCTTGGTCAGAAGGCGCCCCGTGAGAGGTCTGCGGAGAGAGAGTAGCGGTATCGGCACCTTTCTGTTCCCCCAATCCTCCCCCCCCCCACCGACCCTCCATCTGAAGAGCGATCTGTCGCCGCGCCGTCTGTTTCGACCCGCGGTCCTACGCCTTGGGGAGGGCGCCGCGGCCACCAGGGCAAACGCCGCTTCGGGCGCGGGACTTGCCGTGGGGTCTGCCGCGCCCCCCCCCCCCTCCCCTGACCTCCCCTCTGAAGAGCGGTCTAGAGAGGCCCTGCCAGACAAGCAGCCAGCACTCTAGGCACTCCACTTGTCGTGCAGGCGCGGCGGCGAATGCACCACCGCCGGGCCTCCACGGGCCCAGACTTTGGCGCACACTGGCCTCCCAGCCCTGGTCGGGGGCCGACGTTCACGGCCAGCGGGATCCCAACCCCTCATTCGTGGAGAGTCAACAGACTTACACACAGCAAGCTCTCCGCGGTAGCGACGCCAGGACCCAAGTTCACTATACACCCGAGACGCATGTGGGCTTTCGTTTAAAGTGTATGGGGACCTGCTAGGAACCACTCTGCGTTGCCCCAATGCTGTGAGAAGCAAGGAAGAAGTGGATGGGGCGCCCAGGTTTTACTCCTCCGCCTCCTAATGCTCATCCTGTTCCTCGTGCCGTTCCTGCTCATGGCTGTCCTCGCTGGATCCAATCAGGCTTCTGTGCACCCAAGTTGCTGGACGCCTCCTGCACGTCCGAATTCGTCATGTGGACGGGGCACAAAGACCTCCGTCCCATGTAGTCGAATGGTTGACCGCAACGCGCAGCGCGATCAAGCCGCAGGCCTCTGGGAGCAAACGTAAGCTTGCATCCCGTGTAAAGCTGAAGCGCGCTGTGCCCCGCGCGCGATGCACTCGTCATGTTTCGAGAGGGCCGTCCACCCGTTCTCTCAGCAATGTACAGTGGCCTTGGCTCGTGCGCAGCACTCCCTGCCAGGAAGAGAGGTACCTCAGCAATCTCCGCAGAGGTGCAGAGCTGGGATCTCGCCACCCCCAGAATTAATGCACGACCAGGGGCAGCCTGGGATCATCACTCTCATGAGCAGTCGCTGGGGTTCTGTGTCTTTGGTGTAGAACTGCACCACTTCTGGTGCTCACCAGCCTGCTGCTCTGAGGCCTTACAGCTGCCCAGAAGCAAAGACTGGCTTGCAGTCCCGCTCAGACTCATCGCTTTTGCACGGTGTCTCGAACTACAGTCGAGGCATTGCTGGCGTTGCATGAACACCTGTTTGTTCCTCCTCCTGTTCCTCTGGCGGCCGCTGCGCCTTGTCCTTCTGCTGCTTGCTTCCGCCGCTGCCGCTGATCGTCATCTTTCGAGGCAGCTTGTTTTTCTCTGTTGAGTTGTCGTTGAGCCGCGTGAGCACTCAGTAACAGCAGAGGTACCCGTCCCTACTGGTCTGCACGGTAAGCTGTGTTATTTACCCTCACCCCTAGCATGGGAACACCATGGTGTGCCCTGCATCCACGAAAGGACAATATCTTCCGAGGCACACGTGGTTGTATGGATGCCCCTTTCGCCCGAGAACATGGGTTACACAATGACGTTCGCCTTGGATTGGCAGTCGCTCTGGCATGATCCTCGCCCTCGTGCCCAACTCGCACCTGCGTCCTGCTGACAGCTCGAGGTATCGTAGTGAGCGTACTCATGGCGAATCGGCACTCGCAGTGTCTGGCCGTCTCGTCGCTGTTCTGCTCCGCATGGAGGCCGGGCAGTTCCAGTCTCACTGGTTTCACCCTTTCTTCAGCGAGCGAAGTGATTGCGGTGCGCTACTTACTTCATTGCCTGGTCGGCGGACGCAAAGTCAGGCCAGCAAGCACATGCTCGCACATGTGTCTTTGCAAGCTTTACTTCTTGCGACGGCTTTACGGCCGCTGCCGCCGACCTTGAAGGGGGACGACGACGACGACGACGACGACGACGACGACGACGACGACGACGACGACGACGACGACGACGACGACGACGACGACGACGGCGACGGCGACGGCGACGGCGACGGCGACGGCGACGACCACGACGACGACGATGACGACGACAGCGATGATGACGACGACGACGCTGACGCTCCGGAGGCGAAACCTTCCCCCAGGGAGGGGTGCTCCCTCCGTGGGGGGGTCACATCCCCGGGGCCCCCCCCCAACCACCGAGGGATCAGAGGGATGGGGCTCCCCTTCGACCCGACGACGACGTTGCTCGATTTCCCTCTGGCTGGAATGCTTGAGGGGGCGGGGCGACGACGACGACGACGAGGACGACTCAAACGGAAAAGTCTTCACACACGACGACAGGGTCGGCGCATTTCGGTCGTTCGGACGATCGTTGAATGCTTCCCTCGTTCTATCGTTCGTCCGCTCGTTCGCTCGCTCAGTCGTTCCCTCTTGCGAGCGCTTGTTCGTTCTCGTGTGCGGTGCCTCGCTCGCTTTTTCGCTTGATCCCTCGCGGGTCCGAAGCAGGGGGGCCGTATGGACACTCCGTACGAACGAGGCTCATGCGTGGTAAACCCCTCCGCGAGCTCGAGAGCAAGGCAGCCCCGCTTCGAAACGTCGCCCGCTCGTCTGTCACAAGGCCCCTCCCCCTCAGGGAGGCCCTCGAGCTCGAGGGACGGGGCCAGCCGCGAAACCGTGTTCGACCTCATGTGCGAACAGGGTACGCGCGCGGGCCCCACCCCGGGGGCTCGAGAGAGTGGCGGCGGCCGCCTCGAAACTTCGTTCGCGCGTTCGCGCGATCGGCATGCGCGTGCGGGACACCCGCCCAGCCTGGAGGCGAGAAGGATGAGAGCCCCACACCTCAACGACGAAGTCGGCACGACACGAACCTGCCGTACGTGCGTGCCCCCCCCAATTCACCCTGGAGCTCAAAGTTGTGTGCTTCTGCCGTGGGTCCTGGAGCCCTCGACCATCTCCTCGGGAGGTGTTTCGCCACCCGGGAAGTTCTTTCATGGTTTTTAAGGGCGCCTTGGGCCCGAAGAACCCCCCCCGCGCCAAGATCGGAACCAAGGCTCGACAAAAAAGTCTTTCTGGCAATCTCGTGGACCGTTTTCGTTTTCTGTTCGTTTCCATGTTGTTTTCGTTCGGAGGCCCACCATTGACCAATCGCGACTTCGGATTTGCGCCGAAAACGCTGTTGCGCTGTTTTGGGCCATCGGTCGGGCCGCGTTCTCCTCCAGCAGCGCCTCGGCACGAAACCAGCAGAATGTGCAACACGCTGCTCTCTGGCCGACCTCTGACTGGAACCGAGGCAGCCGGGAGTGTCGACCAGATCACGCCGCCCGAGGTCGGGGCCCCGCCGCCTCGTCCCGAGCCTCCTCGCCGCGCCGCTGCCGTTCTTTCGGGGGCCGCCCCCGGGCAGGCCCGCGGGCCACCGCCGCCCGCGTCCGGCCCGGGGGGGGGGGTCCGTGCGCCGATGGCGCTGGCGGCCCCGGCCGCGGCCGCGGCGGCGCCGCGGCGGGGAGTCGGGCGGCCCGCTGGCGCCCCGCGGAGCGCCCAGGACCGATCCCTCCAGCCAGGCCCTCGGGGAGGGGCGAGGGTGGGACCTGTCCTCTCCTCGCCCCACGGTCCTCGCTCGAGCTCGTTCGGTAGCAACTCATGGGAGCCTTGCATGTCCTCGACATTCCGTCTTCGGAGTGCCCTCGCGTGCGCTAGCGTCGGGTAGGTAATCAATGAAGAACCGCAGATCTAGCGTCGATTAGCGTCGATTCAGCGTCGATTAGCGAGCCAGCACAAGATGACAAGGCAGGCCCCCATGAGTTTCCACAGCTCGGCACCAGCTGTAGATGACCCCGCAGCAGGGCGGGCTGATCATTATGGCGTTCCTTTGTGCCGGCCAGCTGTGCCGTAGCAGTGTGTTGTCCT